GCAGGACCTCTTACCCAGCCCCCGTGCCCATGAACATGACCAGAATCGCCACCCTCAGTGTCCCCAAAGGCAACAGGAGGACTTGACCTCCACAGAAAAACCCAAGGTGACAAGGAGCCTGGAAGAGCTCTAAAGGAATCCCTAATCCACCAGCTTCCCTGGTCATGGACTCTGGGAGCCCAGACCGGGCTGCAGGCCCACCATGGCCTCATTGCAAACAATCTGCACATGGGATTGTGGGCAGAAAAAGCAGATGGAAGGGACCCCCCCCCAAGACCACACTGCCTGCTTTCTCCATTTTATGGTTGCTGTGGAGACTGAGGTTCAGAGAGAGGAAACGACCCACCCCAAAGCTCAGCAATACCTAGATTATCTCACCACAGGGACCACTGATAACTGAAAATAGAAGCCCTTCTACTAATTAAACATTATTTCATCTTTAATTGCCATATTTTAGCCATTCTTAAAAAAAAGAATAAGTATTCTTATTATTATGCATAATAAGTATCTCATTAAAATAATGACATCAACCATCAAGCCAGCCCTTCCCTGTAACGACTGCTGAGCAGGGGGGATGGTGATGTATCAGCTGTCTTGCTAGTTCTCCAGGGCAGACTGCAGAGATGCTGCGCAGTGCCTGGAGGGGTCACCACTCTGACCTGAATCTCAGAGCCGCCTCTCCATCATCCTAGCTTCCCTTTCAAAGCTATTTGGGACTACCAAACATAATTTACTTATCCAAAGTTCCTACAAACTTACTTAAGCTCTTAGCCTAATATCCTATAATTGAACCAACTGAAAATACCACATGACTCCTTTCCTCTGCAGGTCCAGACAGTTATCACCTTGGCCATGACCCACTCCCCCCTTCCCCAGAGACCATAGCATAGAGGTCTGCTCAGAACCCAGCTCCAGCTAAAGGTTCAGCCACGCAGAATCCAACCTGGAATTTCAACTGGCCAAAGCTGCAGATACCAAGTTTTTACCCACAGACTGTGTTTTGAAAGATCTGGCCTAGTAAGTTGATTAATATTTTTTTCTCCTTTTAAATAATCCAAGTCACATCCAATAGTCCATCGGAGCGTCCAAACAACAGAAGGTAACCAGTGTCGCCAAACTGACTCGCTATTTCAACTCAGAACAATGCATTTTAATTATTCTGAGCTGCCTTGTTCTGAAAAAACATTTGATCTTTGCTCTGCCCTCCCACCCTCTGTCCACACACCTTCTCAGAGTCACAGGGATTCAAAGACCCCGGTGGACAATGCAAGTAGACATTAGAGCCACCACACTGCCACAAATGGAGAGCAGCCTGGAATACAGCTGAGCCAAAGGCTGACTGTATTGCCCTCCCAGCAGTCAAATTTATCTCTGATCTGAATCTACAGCAAATTTCCAAGGACTGGGGAAAACATTTCCCATGAGCAAGAAGTTAATTTATTTGCAGGGGAAAATGAATGGCTCCCTCCATAGGCACCAGGAAACAACATGAAATGACCCTGAAGACAGACCCCAGACAGAGCCCTCAGTTATGTAAGATGGCCTAAACTCAGCCAAGGGTGACAGAGGACATAAATTTTGCAATGCTCAGTAAGGGGGTCTGAGGATTCTTTAAACTGAAGCGCACCTTGTACTTAAATATACTCCCTAGTGAGAAATGACTTGGGTTTTGTAGGTTATACTTTAAGGGAGCTTAGAAGAAATTATCAAACATCTGCTTTAGACAATTACACATAAGCAAGTTATCACTGAAAAAGCCAGATTAGAGGAGTCCGCTGTGTTAGGACAGGTTACAAGAAGCCCTCTCCCCATCTTTCTGCCCCTTATATTTGATGAACTCCTTCCCTTTGTGTGTGTGTATGTGTGTGTGTGTGTGTTTAAAAAGAAGCAGCACTTTAGAAACTAACTGGTATCTTAGGATTAGAAGGAGCAATATTTGAGACCATCCTCAGGAAAAAAAAAAAAAAAAGACCCTCTGGAAGACTCTGAAAGAAAAATTCATTTTCCAATCAAAGCATATTAACTTGAACATCTCCCAACCCACCAGAAAGCACTCAAGGTAATAAGAACCGTAAGAGGAGGAAGGGGAAAAAGAATGAGCCAGTGGGGGTAATTCTGCTGTCAGACCATACCAGTTCTACAAAACAATGAGCCGAAACCAGACTGATATTTCTGAAGCGTCCATCTCTGCCACCAGCCACCTGGGCTGAGGGGCGGGCAGGGGGAATCCCTCATTCCACTCTGCCCCACTTTGTTCAAAAGTGCAGGTAAGCCAAAGGACACAACTCTCACTGACCATAAATTTCAGGTACCTATATGGAGTGAAAGTGAAAAGTGAAAGTTGCTCAATCGTGTCCGACTCTTTGCCACCCCATGAACTATACAGTCCATGGAATTCTCCAGGTCAGAATACTGGAGTGGGTAGCCTTTCCCTTCTCCAGGGGATCTTCCCAACCCAGGGATCAAACCCAAGTCTTGTGCATTGCAGGCGGATTCTTTACCAGCTGAGCCACAAGGGAAGCCCAAGAATACTGGAGTGGGTAGCACTCCATTTGGAGGAGTACCATATGGAGTGAGGCATAAGTAGCACCATATGTAGTGGGGCATCCAAAACACTCATGCACTGCTAAGAGCTCATGCCGTTCCTTCAGTGTCAGAGTTCACACCGTGCCGGTTATGCACCAGACACTTCACATGGATTATCTCAGTCCTATGAATTATATGTGTGTGTATGTTAAGTCACATCAATCACGTCCCTATGGACTGTAGCCCACCAGGCTTCTCTGTCCGTGGGACTTCCCAGGCCAGATTACTGGAGTGGGTTGCCATTCCCTCCTCCAGGGGATCTTCCCGACCCAGGAATCAAACCCGCATCTCTTATGTCTCCTGCATTGGCAGACAGGTTCTTTACCACTAGTGCCAAGACATGCTTTATGTTATGAGGAAAATGAAAGCTAGGTAGCTTGTCCAAGGTCACCAAGCTCTCCTTGCAGAGCAGGGACTTGAAACCTCGTGGTCTCACTCCAGACCTCACTCTTACCCACTGTCCCCGCCCATCATAGGGGATCAGGGTACAAACGAGCTTCACTGACTTCTCCCCACACACACATCCCAGGCCTGCATCTGGCTTCCAGCAACACCCCACCACAAAAGAAGACTTCCCTTCTGGTTCAGACTGGACTCCACAGACAGGCTGTAATCAGTACATCATTTACAAAGGCGTCATGTTTAGGGAGCCAAAATGAAAGGCCATCATTTTGTGAAACAGCCTCCCAATTGAAACTCATGCTGCAATGTAGAAAAAGAGAGGCTACTCAAACCATTTTCTATCTTCTGCTGAGTATAAAGACTTTAACTTCACATGAGCTTGGAGATGTCACCACACTCTGTAAAAGGGAGGTACTAGGAAAGAAATCCTTCTGTCTCTGGACCACAGAGTATATTTCATTCAGTGGAAAAGAAACTGGATCTTCTCAATGTTTTTAAGGCTTGATCCTAAACAGAATGTTTATAATTGCAGATAAATGTCATATAATACTGGGTCTTTTTCACTTATAAAATTGTCCTCAATGCAACGAAAGTGGAAACTTGCCTCCATGTGGCAACTTCAGATGAATCAAAGGTATAAAGCAGCTCCAAGAGGAGAATTCATTGAAAGTCTGTAAGACCATTTGCAAATATCACAGGTACTTGCTTTATATGAATGTCTATAGCCATACACAGTATCAAAATGAAACTATAAGGGAAGGAATTCACTGTACAGAAGACAAAACAATACCCTTTTTATTTTTAAAACTCTGGTGAAATAGGTTTCCATATGACATCCCATTTTTTAAAAAATTAACGTAAACCAACCTGCCTGTGTGTTAGTCACACTATAGAGACTCCATCATGGTGTGTACAGATGCCTAAAGTATTTACAAATGTTATCTGTTAGGTAGTAAAGTTTTGTTGCCATTTTTCCAGCACATATTCCACAGTAAAATAAAGGGGAGATACTGGTGTTCTTATACAAAAATTCTTAACAAGTGGATAAAGGCAATTTACCTGAGAGAAGATTTGTTCTTGAAATATTTTTTTCACAACTGGAAATATAGAAATGGGATGTAGTTGTAAAAGAAGCATAAGAATGTCTAAGTTTACATTTTCTTCTTTTAAATTATTTAAGTACCATTAAGTTAAAATGTTTACATTCATTATAAAAAATGTTGTTAAATCTTTTATGCAAATGATTTAACACTGATTGCTGCAACGCAAATTGCACTTTTTTAAAAAAATTATTGTTTACATGGAAGAAAAATATCTTTTGTTTGCTACCCTGTTTACAAATTCGGACTGACTTCGGGTCAGTCGCACAATATGAACTTTGAGAAACGTCAGTCACAGTGTATGTTACAGTTACGATGCAGTCCTGCAAACTGAGTGATATTTTTGAAGAGACCTCAAGAACCGACCCAGCCTCCGGAGGTGTGTACCAAACGAAGGATCTTCTCCATGAACACGCGGGAAATCAGGGAAGGGGGCTGTGGAAAAGGGGCAGAGAAATTCTGGAATAACCAAAACTGATCAGAAGAAGCACATGATTTGGGGCAATACACATAAAACTTTGGTTTAAAAATCTCTTTCGATATTCCATGGCAGGCAAGGCCCCGGGAGTAGTTCCGGTTTCTGCATGTGTCACGATGGACATCCAATCCCCTGGCCGACCCAGAGACCAGCTGCCTGGAAGCGGCCCCCGTGGCCAGGGAGGCTGTGGGCGGCCCCGGTCCTTCCCTGGAGAGGCGGTCCCTCTTCTCCCTGGGTCTTCAAGACAGGGTCCCGGGGGCAAGGCAGAGCAAGCCTCTCGGGAGATTCATCTCTTTCAAATAAAGGCACAGAAATCATGTATCAGAGGAAGAAGTCTGGTCAGCATCCTCGGCCCAGTCCGGACTGCTTGCCAAGAGGATCCATGAAGGCGATCCCACGGGCCGGCAGCGTCCTCCTCTGGTCCCCGCAGCCGCTCAGGCCAGGGCCAGGGCGCACCAGGAATCCTGCCTCACCGACGACGTGACTTCAGCTGGCGAGGCCAGGCTAACGCCGATGTACAGCCCGTCTTGACCTGAGTACTTGAGCTCGCTGTTCTCGGGGTTGGCACTGTCCCCGGCACCGGACATCACCGAGCCGCCTGCCTGGTGGAGAGGGGGACGGAGAGAAGGGGAGAGACAGTTACCGATAAATATGTCAGGCAGGGCTTCCCTGGGGACTCAGTGGTAAAGATCCACCGCCCGTGCAGGAGACACGGGTTCAATTCCTGATCCAGGAAGATCCCACTTGCAGCGGAGCAACTAAGACTGTGCGCCTCAACTACTGAGCCTGTGCTCTGGAGCCGGGAGCCGCAACTCCTGAACCCCACGTGCCCCAGAGCCTCTGTTCCACAACAAGAGAAGCCACCGCAACGAGGAGCCCAAGCACCGTGACTAGAGAGTAGCCGTCGCTCGTCACCACTATAGAAAAGCCCATGCAGCAATGAAAAAAATAATCAAAAATGTATCAAATTATTATTTTTTTAAAATATGTCAGGGAGAGACAATCGAGATGGTTAGACTAGCCGGCAGAGCTGCTCCCTGGGCGGTGAGATGCCCTTGACCCAACCCTGGTGATTTTCAGCTCTTAGAATCAGCCTCCTGCTCACGTTATTAACTCATGGCAGGAACCACCCGGCAAGATTTGCATGGACACAGGTAGGAACGGGAACTGGAGGCAGCCTATTTGTAAAAAGTGCCAAATGCTCAGATCTCTGACAGTGAAACAAACCACACCACATAGGTCCACAGGCCCTAAGGATGCCCGCACATTCTAATCTCTGCAAAAGAGAAAGTGCAGAGCACTGCATGGACGTGCACGCGTGCGCGCGCGCGCACACACACACACACACACACACACACACAGCAGAACCATGAGGCTTAGCAGTTCTATTAAAGTCTAAGAAGGGAAAGATACATAGTTCAGCAAGTCCTGATAAATGAAATTTTTGGGCACTGACTTCATGGAAAATTAACCCATGCATACACAGACTTTAATTCCTCCCAAGAAGAACAGGTCATGTTTGAAGCAGGCCACATGATAAAGAAAATGCTAGCATCTTATATCTGTCACGATCATGACAATTATTTCTTGAAGCAAAAGGTCATTTTTCTCATTTCATTCCTTCCATCTAAATTAAAATGTCAAATAGCAAACATGATATAATTTAGTAAAATGAAATCAAAATAACTAAAATCATGTTTAGATCACGGTTTGAGAATACAGTTGCATTTGGCTTTTTTAATCTAACCAAATTCACATACTTTTAAATCACTTTGTCCTCCTTCTAAAGCACTGTAGTTGTTTAGTCATTAAGTCATGTCCAACTCTTTTGGGATCCATGGACTATAGCTCAGAAGGCTCCTCTGTCCATGGAATTTTTAAGGCAAGAATACTGGATATGGGTTGCATTTCCTTCTCCACGGGATCTTCCCAACCCAGGGATCAAACCCGCGTCTCCATCATCAGGCGAATTCTTTCCCACTGAGCCACCAGAGAAGCCTGGTATTTCTTCTGAATTTTCAGGCTTTCCATAAACTATAGGATATTTGTTTTTCTGACACAGGTAGAACATCTTGCACTTTTCAAAGCATTTTTTTTTTTACATTCACAAGCCCATTAAATCCTAAAACATCCATCTGTCTGGCAAAGCTGATGTTACATCCACTTCAGAGAAACACAGGGCACCAGAACAAATGAATGTAAGTTTCCCAGAGTGTCCCTGGCTCCACTCAGGGGCCTGGAAGTGGATGCAGTCCTACCCTCTCCTCTCCGGAGAAGATCTGGTTTTGTCTCGAACCCTCAGAATAACTGTATGGGGCCAAGAGGCAGGACTGCAGGAAGTCCGACCATGGAACTTCCCTCCAGCCGGATAGGCTGAAACCGGCCCCTCCACGGCTAACCAACCCTTCCCCTCCCTGGCAAAAAATGAAGGTTTATGAAAATCCAGAACAGCACACCCCACCAAAACTTCTTTTTAAATAACACGATCTTAAAGATGTAAACAAAGGGCTCTGGGTGCCTAAAAAAAAGGAAGTTTCACAAACTCATTGAGATGTCTAAAATTTAAAGTAGGTTCTTGTGAAATAGATGAAATAACCCTGTTAAACAAACTAAAGCTATGGATTTACATACACATACAAATATGGTGGCCTTCCCAGGTGGCTCAGGGGTAAACAATCCAACTACAATGCAGTAGATCCTGGTTTGATCCGTGGGTCGGGAAGATCTAGGAGGGCATGGCAACCCACTCCAGTATTCTGGCCTGGAGAATTCCATGGACAGAGGAGCTGGGTGGGCTACAGTCCATGGGGTTGCAAAGTCAGACACGACTGAAGGGACTGAGCATGCATGCACAAATATGGTGATTCCTTTTAGAAAACCTCAGCTATAAGCAAACTAACCATGGATCCAGGCTTAACTCCCAAAGAAATACATAAAAGGACGCTATTCAATTATAAAAGGAGTCTTCGTTTTAGAAAAGAGCTATCACACAACTAGCAGAGTGAGGTCCTTTGTACACGATTGTCATATCCAGCTTTATATTACCTACCTATTCTCCACAAAAAGCATTTTCTTCCCATTTGTCTGACAAATCTGACTTCACCACAGTGAGTGCTGCTTTCTGGAATGGAGGGGTGCTGAGACTGGCCCAGGAAGCGGCTCACCTCAAATGGCCAGACGTGCTGTGCCGTCACCACAAATCACAACCAACAACATCAGCAGGGCACATCAGAGCCAGGCAGTGGGGCCGTGAGCCCCAGACACAGTCGCTCCCAGCTTGGGTGGGGAAACCAGGACAGATACACTCAAAAGTAAGACCGCTCAACAGCTGTGATGAGTTTATGACTGTCCGAGACAGGAAGGTGGAAGGAGAGGTCGGAAAAGGAATTGCAGAGAAAGGATACCTGGGGGACGGCCGCAGACAGCCTGCACGGTGGGACCAGCTCTGGCTTTCCTGTTCTACCCTGGTTTCAGCCACCCACCTCCTGAGCCTCCTCCTTAGGAAACCAGCCCTACCTCAAGTATGTTCACGACAATTAAGTGAGCTAATGTTTGCAGACGTGTCAGAATGCCTTGCCATGTTAAACATTCCTTCAAGGGAAGCTATTGTTGTGGGTGAGGAAAGGGTGTTCAAAATTGGAAGAATGCAGGATGTGGGGAGACCTGCTCGCAAGACAAGACGGCTGAAAGGGAAGGACATGAAGCAACGAGTCAGAAGAGGCTATGAGAAAGGGAAACTGGAAAGTCCGACCTAGAACTTTCTCAGTTTCCTCACCTGGAAAATAGAAATAAACAGGCAACTACATCAGAAAATTGTTGCAAGGGTTAAATTAGAAAATATAAAGAGAGCCCTTGTCTCTGACAATAGTCAAGACTGAGTATGTGCATGCTATTATGAAAAAGTGTTAGTTGGTAGTCGTGTCCAACTCTTTTCAACCCCATGGACTGTGGTCTCCCTGTAGGGGAACCTGGTGGGCTACATACAGTCCATGGAATTCTCCAGGCAAGAATACTGGAGTGGGTAGCCTATTCCTTCCTCCAGGGCAATCTTCCCGGCCCAGGGATTGAACCTGTGTCCCCTGCATTGCAGGCAGATTCTTTACCATCTGAGCCACCAGGGAAGCCCTATGCTACTCTGAGAGCTTTGTTATTGCGGTGAAGGAGCATGGACCTAATGAAATCTCCCCAATGTCATTCTTCACCAGATAATTTGCAGCTGTGGATGGGTGGGAGCAGCCCTAAGAACTCAACCAGAGCTAAGTTCACTTCAACCAGGACATTATTCTAACCATCGTTGACGGCTCTCCCCAGAAAGAAAGCCAGGCCCTCCTGCAACCCCCTTCAAAAGGGGCACTGGCCCTTTATCAAATAAGCTGCATTAAAGAAATATCAATACCCTGAATACTATTCTTACACCTGAACAACTGTCCTAAAAGCTCCTATTGAAATGCTTATTGTCTTCTTTGTTCAGACAAAAATGTTATATGGCAAGCAAATCCCAAATTACATGGGTGATGTGCTCCTGAAAAAAACATCAACTTTGAAATCAAAAGCAATATCTGTTCCCTGTGAGAAAAAAAATAAGTACTTGTGCCCAAGGTTTGAGAAACTTAATTTTTAAATGGGGATATACTATTTAAGGGCTTCCCTGATAGCTCAGATGGTAAATAATCTGCCTGCAATGCAGGAGACCTGGGTTTCATCCCTGGGTCGGGAAGATTCCCCTTGAGAAGGGAATGGCTACCCACTCCAGTATTCTTGCCTGGAGAATCCCATGGACAGAAGAGCCTGGAAGGCTGCAGTCCATGGAGTCTCAAAGAGTCGGACACGACTGAGTGACTATCACTTTCACTCATCACATACTATTTAAGCAAGGAATGTGGCAATGCACAGCATTTTTTTTCATGTCGATCATACCTCAATTTAAAAAAATTGAAATTTTATGTCATGATACATAATGAGATCGTGATGAGATCAGATGGGATAGATAACGCCAGACCCCTCCATCCCTGACTGGCGGGGCCACACTCTGGCACTAGCCTTAGAAGGCAGTTAGCAGAACCCATCAAGAACTTTTTACCTTTCTGAGTGCTATAATTTCACTTCTGGAAATGGATTATAAGGAAAGAATTCAAAGGGAGGGAAAGACGCCCCACAGGAAGACATCCATTGCAGGGTTATTATAACAGTGGAAACCATGGAAATAATCTAATGTCTCATAATATGGGGATGGTCTGGGAAAGCAAGGGATATCCGCTCCGTGAACAATTATGCAATTATTGAACCTAATAAGATCCTGTAATGCAATGTTAATCGAAAAACCACAGGAAAGAAATTCTAGCTAAGTCATAATTACAACGTATCCATGGGCATACATAGGTATTTCAAGAGAACCCAGGTGAGGAGGTGAGGGACCAGCTGCAAGGGCCCAACCTATTACTAGCCATCTGTAGCTTCCTTTTGAATATTTTAATGGAGTGGCACAGTGCAGTCTAACTCTGGGGGAGAGTGGAAGACATTAGGTCTGGAAACGCAAGGCACCAGCGCTTGAGAAATGAGCCAGGCTAGACAGAATCATAAAGTAGCATGAAAAACAAGGAGG